GTTTGCACGGTTCTGCATTTATGTCACTGAAGTAGAAAATGAAAAAGTTTTATTTGCGCTCTGTGGATCAGGATTGTGTTCCTGCTGTGGGATCTGGATTTTAAAGGTTTGCTCAGGTTATTGAGAGAAGAAGTGAAATGAGTTTAAAGGCTGACATAAATGGAAAAGTCAGACCCGCGTCAGACTGAGTTCTGCAGGTCGGTGGAAACGGTCCCACAGTGGAGTGACTGTTAGCAGCCGTCCATCACACCGGGGGTTAAAATAACACCTCAGCTCAGGGCTTTACAGATTCTGTCTTCCCACATGTGCTCCGTATTTATCCCCACTGCAGCATCACTGACTCCATTGTATGTGGTGGCGCTGCTCAGTAGCAGGTCTTGTTCTGTCGTGATTTAGAGGAGCTTGAAACCGTGCGGCGGGAAACCAAACAGAAACCTGGCTGAGGTCAGGTGTATTTCAGTGACTTTACCTGCACAGGTAGGGATGGATGTGGTTGAACCCTGGGGGGGAGGATCACTCCACATCAGGAGGAACAGGGACCATACTGTCCCAGTTCAGACCCAGTAGAATCTAAACCTTCGTCAAACTAAATGAAATCATCGTGTAGAGAAAATATTGATCAGCCTTTTGTTTTGGTTTTGGTTGCATTTACCCAGAATGCCCTGCGTGGTAGTCCACTTCCTGCTCTTTGTCTCTGGTCCGATTGTCATTCACACACACATTCAAACAGAACCAACAGAACCGTCCTCCAGAGATCCAGGACCAGATGACAGTCTGGACTCAGTAAAACGATTTGATCACATCCAGTGAGGCGAAACATTAAAACTTTACTTTGACTCTAAACCTGCCAGCTGTATGAATAGTTCTGGGCTTTAATTGTAACATGACCTTCCACTGATACTTTGTTCTTCATTCTTGTGACATGAGAGTTTCTAGTATCACAGCTTTAAAAAGTCAATTTAATCTTTGCATTACTGAGAAGTTGAGTCATATTTAGTAATCCTTTCCTGTTTTACTAAAAGCAGAATTGATTTCGTTACAGTCTTTGTCATTTTGGTTGTCTTTTCAATATTAGGAGCTTTAATGTTTGCTCACCTGGAAGGTGAGGTAGAAATCCTCCTCCACGTTTCCCTCGTAGCTCAGCAGCTCCGCCAAGCCGTGAGCCAGATCCTGGACACACGCATGAAACTCCTCATTTCACAGGTCAAGTTTCACCTTTTCATGCATTAGTGGGGAAACCACACAGTCCCATCTTCACTTTGCAGATATGGAGCAACAACATCTTTAAGCATGAGATGCTGCAGGTTCAGCTGTCACAGTTAGAGTCAGAGCGCCCTGAAGCAACACAGCAAACTTTTCACAACTTTTCGCATCTGTTGTCTCTCTTTATTTTATAAATGTAAGACTTTTTGAGAAAAAAATAGCTAAATCTCATTTTGCTGAAGGACGTCTGGGTTTCTATACAGGAAACGTTTGGTACTGAAAGCTTCAAACTGATATCCTCCAGTTATACAACTCCTCGGCCTATTACAGTGTGTGTGTGTGTGTGTGTGTGTGTGTGTGTGCGTGCGTGCGTGCGTGCGTGCGTGCGTGCGTGCGTGCGTGCGTGCGTGCGTGTGTGTGTGTGTGTGTGTGGTGATTGTCAGAGTTTTGACCTTCGCAGTCAGGAAGGTTTTGGATGCGTTGCAGCCTGTGGATCAGGTAACTGGGAGCGACTGTTTGGAGACACTTCATCATCTTTCTCTGACTGAATTCTGACATCAGTCACATTGTGTTCTGTTGGGTCCGTCAGCATTCCCAATCTCTGCTCTAGAACATGGGAAGCAGCTGTCAGCTCATTAAGGACTAGAAATATTTCAATCTTCATGCCTGGGTCCAATAAATGTCAACGCCAAGTGTCACACATTCAACATGAGAGGTTGATTCATATTGAACAGCTAATGGTGTTGGTCAAATATCTTCGAATTGAGTTGTTTTAAAGTGCTTTATAAATAAAGTTGGTAGTTGATCCATGATTCTACTTTTTAACGCTCTCAGCCAGATCGAGGTCAGGCCAGATCAGATGCACTAAATAATTGGCTGATGACCAAAACCAGACACTTTCCTGCCTGACTGACTTGCAGAGCTGCTAATGGACGGCAGCTAACCAATCAGCTCGCTCTGGCTATGAGCTAGCTGTGCACAAGACTCAGTTAGCTATTTATAATATCAGAGAAGCATTTCACAATGCAGTCACAGGGAACAAAAAGGATTTAGGAGGTTCCTAAAGTGGACACTGAGTTATCTACGCAGGTATGTCTTATGTTTAGACAGGCTATCGCTGCAACGGGTCAAACTGAAAGGCCAATTTACTTTAGACAGATATTTTAATCCGTATCTGTCATGAAACGTCTTTGATTTGGAAGTTATATCAGCCTGGTAGTGCAGCGAAGTGGGCATGTTGGTAACAGAGCTAACTGTTAGCAGTATTAGCCATCCTAACAGAGCTAACTAGCATGAAAAGGCTGATTTGCTTACCCATTTGAAGTCATGCTAGCAAAGCAACATGTGCTAACAGCGTTAACCAGAGTTAATGAGTTGCAAAACAAGTTAACAGTGATGACAAAATTAATTATTATAATAAAGAAAAAGGTTTTAACCACTAACTACCAACAGAACTAAATGCCCTAACAGAACTAAATGCACTGACAGAACTAAATGCACTAACAGAACTAAATGTACTAACATAACTAAATGCACTAACAGAACTAACTGTACTAACAGAACTAACTGTACTAACAGAACTAAATGCACTAACATAACTAAATGTACTAACAGAACTAACTGTACTAACAGAACTAACTGTACTAACAGAACTAAATGTACTAACAGAACTAAATGTACTAACATAACTAAATGTACTAACAGAACTAACTGTACTAACAGAACTAAATGCACTAACAGAACTAAATGTACTAACAGAACTAACTGTACTAACAGAACTAAATGCACTAACAGAACTAAATGTACTAACATAACTAAATGTACTAACAGAACTAACTGTACTAACAGAACTAAATGCACTAACAGAACTAAATGTACTAACATAACTAAATGTACTAACAGAACTAAATGCACTAACAGAACTAACTGTACTAACAGAACTAAATGTACTAACAGAACTAACTGTACTAACAGAACTAAATGTACTAACAGAACTAAATGTACTAACATAACTAAATGTACTAACAGAACTAACCATACTAACCACACAAGCAGAACAAACCGTGCTAAAAGACACAGATGTGCCAGAGCTCACTGGTTAATTATGGTAACAAATGAAATATTAAAATGTGGAAAGCTAATATGTACTAATTGAGGTAACCAAGCTAACAGAATGTGTTAGTTTAGTCAGTTTTTCTTTTTCTCTTGTTACCCACATCATATCAAAGCACAGATCATATCATAACAGACGACCAAACAAACCCAAAATAGTCGTGGTGACCCACGTCGTCTTCCAACTCAAATATTTTCCTTTTCACTTTGACACTTAAAACTATACATAATCTACATTTCTTTAAGTTCAATAAAGAAACTCTGATCATATTGAAGTTGTGAAAATTACACGTTTCAAAATTAAAAACAAAACAATAAGGAATTAGTTTAAAATGTTATTTCACCAGATGCATCATTTTATATGCATGTGCAAAGAGAAGAGTAAATGCTGATCTGCACGTCTGTTTAATCAGCAACACATTAAGTAGAACTGAGATCATTTGAACTGGATGGACTCAGGAGTCTGACTCTGTCGCCCTCTGGTGGCCAACAAAAAAACCTTTTTCTGATCTAAATGGTAGAAATTAAGAAACAAAACTCTAATTTATTTATTTTAAACTGAATACTTTGGTCACAAATAAACAAGTTGATCAGGTAAGTGATCCTTACAGGCATGACCTGCTGCAGGTCGTCCAAGGTGGCCGTTGCCATGCCAACAAAGGCATTAGGATCAGGTGGCACAGTGGGCGGAGTGAGCAGCTTCCTGCAGGGAAGCAGAGGAAGATCATTAAACCTGGTGAACAAGGAGAACTTGAGAAAAGAGGGAAGTGTTGTTACCTGTAGCAGTAGAGAGGGAAGTGGATGTCCAGAGCAATGCTGTTGTAAACCGCTAAGCCCATCAGCTGGTAACACAGCACAGTTAAAGATGGAAACACTGCAAACATGAGACAAACGGGTCTGCAGGATGGAGACAGCTGCTGCCGGACTAAAACAGAAATGATATTTAACTTTCTGTTGAGTTCAGAAACTATTTTCTGTCTTAACAAGAGACAGAAAGGACTCCACACTGTCACGACTCATTAAACAGCTAAAGCCAAATGGAGAAGCTGGAGACAGGCACCTGCTCTACCCTGCAACGATAAGCAGGTGGACATGCAGGAAGAAGAGGACCGGATTCCTCTTCTTCCTGCATTTGACGCAGACAGACATGAAGCGGCCTGGAGGATCTCAATGCTTCGCTGTGGGAGTCGCTGAGACTCTTTCTGTGGTCCACAGAGTGAGAAGCAGCCCTGCAGACCAACGATTCGTCCACCTGCAGGTTTTCTTCTCCTGCTTCGGTCTGCAGGGCGGCGGCCCAGAACACGCACTCATAAACCGCTCCCAGCTGCCACATGTGGTCACCATGTGTGCTCTGGTTCTGTGTTTGAACTGAGTGGCGCTGATTGCAAGAAGGTGACACACACACACACACACACACGCACGCACGCACGCGCGCGCACGCACGCACGCACGCACGCACACACACACACACACACACACACACACAGAGGTAGCAAAGGCAAAATAAACATACTGTAGATTTACCACAACCATTCTGGTCATTATAGCCAGAATGATGTGGGTCAGACTGAAGCTGAGCTGCTCATGCATCTTCCTGAAAGACCCTCTGGTCAGACATCCAGCAGTTTGGTGAAGCGTCTTCTACAATCTCTGCTCTGACTTTAGAGAACATGAATAAAACTGCAGTCTCTCTCTCTCTCTGTGTTTCACATCACCTCTCTGGTTTTATGCCTTCGTCCTTCGTTTTACCAGACAGGTTCTTTCTTACTGGACCAAAGTCAAGACAAGCCTGTTAAAAAGCTTCATCGAGTCACAGACTGCAGGTTCTTAAACACATTTATTAAAGTCAGCACCGTCGGTTCCAGTCAGGCGCCTTCTCCTGGGCCTGCTGGTAACTGGATCGGCGGAAAAATCAACGGGCTACAAAATACAAAATATGTCAATAAATGGGAAAAAATATTTTAGCTCTAGATGTTTGTTGAAAAAACCTGAAGGATCTCTTTAAGCTGCAGACTGAAGACAGATGGAAATGTAGAACTTTGTGTTCGGTCCAAGGTTCCGATTGGACTTCAGGAATTCATCGGATTTGACCGACAGTTTCCACAAACGTTTTTATTCGAGGCTTAAATTCTTTTGTCTGTTTCTGGATGATGAAAAGAGTCATGCTGTGGGCTCCAACTGCTCTCCTGAAAAGGTGGTCACTTCCATGGCAACCAGTCACAGGTGTTTTTACAGCGTAACTCCTGGATGGGTTCAGCTTTCCAAGCAAAGTTCTCAGTTCTTCAGAACAGATTAAACCTGACAGAAGTCGGGACGAATTTCAGCATCTAAGTAGATTTTCTTTTCGGTGTTTTGGGCGAGTTGCTCTTTACTTGATCCGTCATCGTGCTCAGAAACAATCTGCAGCTCATTTGAACTTTCTGTTCTTTCTCCTCGACGTATTTGATCCATCTGTTTCACCTCACACTGCATCACATCACTTTCTGTCTCCTCCAGAGTTTGTGTCAGGAGACGCTGCCTCTCGTCTCGGCTCCGCCTGGCTCCGCCCTCCAAGCCTTTCTAATGACCGAACAGGAACAAAGCCTGATAAATGAGCCTTTAGAACAAGCACACATGTGGGCCATGCAGGAACACCCAGAAGCAAGCAGCCCCTGCTCCTCCTCCTGCCAGACTCAAACCAAACAGCGTCTGGTCCGGGTTCCTCTTCCCTGCTGCTCCACACTGAACCCAAACCAAAACCCTGCAGGTTTCCACGCAATGAGGGTCGATACCAGAGCGACGAAGGTGTTAACAGGTTTATGTGTGCGACCATGAAGTGATTTAACTGCTCACAGAGAGCTGGGCAGGAACAGGCAGCTATTAGGTTATATAACCTTTTGACAGCTCCCAGCTGGCCTGAAGAGCTGCATCGCTCTGCTTTCCTACACACATGAAGGCAACACCACCACAACGCAACACGCACACATGCATGTTCTCCATTATTCAGATGTGAAGGAGATGTTCCAAAACGCCACCGCGTCCCGGATCCGTTCCGGTTCTGAACATTCGTCAGTCATTACGTCAGTCTGGCCTGCCATTTCATTTGTTGCCAGCAGAGTGCGCCGCCTCCAGGATGGATGGAGTCAATTAAGAGCACAAAATAACAACACAAACATAAAACCCCAGATTTTTGTGTTATGGAAGGATACAGTCCCAACCATCTGGAACTCAGAGTAGTTGTCGCTCTTCCAGCTGCTGAACCAGTGGCAGCGCGAGTCCTTCATGAAGGAAAACATCCCTGGAGCAGAAACAATTCCCGTTAGAGCCGGCCGGGATGAGATGGAATAAAACATCACAATTAGAAGAACCTCCTGATGCAGCAGATTCATTCACCGGTTTCTGACTGGCTGACTAACGTCCACACTAATCCGCCTCTGATTGGTCGGGACGACGGCGCTCTGAGCCAACAGGAGGCAAACATCTGGACCCGAGCGTCACATCAGAACCTGAAGCTGCTCCACGCATAGAGGAGCCTGTGTGTGAGGGGTTGTGTGTGTTTGCAGACACCTGTCTGTGTGTGTGTGTGTGTGTGTGTGTGTGTGTGTGTGTGTGTGTGTGTGTGTGTGTGTGTGTGTGTGTGTGTGTGAGGCAGAGTCGGGGCTTCCCCTGCTCAGCTAATGAGGGGAACACAGCTCTCATTGACTGTCTTTGCTCTGGGCTGACGTCCCTCTGGCAGCAGAAACACAGACGACCGCAGAGAGACGCAGCGACGATGGAAAGAACAACTTGACCAGCGGAGAGAGCGAGAAACAGAAAAAGAGAGAAATAACACCATGAAGGAGTGAAAGGCACAGATGCTCTGACTAACGTTTGTTTGGTTTAACTGAAAAGATTCAAAAGCAAGAAAAGAAACATCTGGCTGGAAATCCAGAGAAATTAAATCATCTTCTCAGGTTTATAAAGTCGGTTGCTCTGCAGCCAACCTTCAAGTTCAGATGGAGCTATTCTTTCAGGAAGAAAGGTTTTAAATGAGGCATCATCTAGGGCCTCTGTTTGCATCATCTCCAGAGTCCTGGTCCTTCAACTCTATAGCGCCACCCACAGGAGGAAGAAATGAGAAACAAAGTCACTGAGATCTATTCATCTGATGCTCACAAGCCCTTTACTCCAGTCCAGATCAACTCTCACATCTCGTTCTCTCTCCATGCAGCTGGCCCTTTAATGATTCTAGCCCGAGGTCGGGTTCTGATCCAGAATCATCTCTGGGTGTGAGCGACAGAACAGAAAGATGAGAGGAAGTCAGGAACAAAGAAGGAGAGGAGAAAACCTGATCTGAGTTCAGAGATCAATGTCCAAGTTTCCAGAACCAGCAGTGTCTGCAGCGTTCTGACCCAAAAACTCTCAGCTCAAATCCACCGAGGCCGCTGGCTAATAACTGTTCTTTCCCTTTTTAGCCAATAAAAATGTTATTTTTTTCCACTTGCTTTCAATAAAGAGCAGCTTCTCTTTCCGATGACTTTGCATCAGTGAGGATTCAGCTTCCAGATTCCCAGCTGCTCCCTGAAAGCGGCGATTTCTTCAGAGAACGTTGGATCTCATGGACCCAACCTTCACTGATGACCCATTCTGGTCTTCTTAAGGTTTGTTGTCTTTTGTTTCTCCAGCTTCCTTTTTAAAGCTTCAGATGTGGGGAGTCTGTTTTACCTTAAAGACTCTTTATGATTTCTATAACTTTACAACACAAAGTTTTATCTTTCTGGAAGATCCACCATTTCCTGGACCGATGGAAGGAAATGTTTTTGGACAGATAAAACCTGCAGCTTAGAGCTGACCTTCAGAAATGCTGTCAGTGTGGAATCTCACCGTAGTCGGTGTGGAAGATCTGACGAACCAGCAGCAGGAACCACTCCTTGGTCAGACCGCCCATGTCAAGCCCCGCCTCCCCGACAAACGTCACCCGCAGCTTCTTCTTCAGGTCGCACCGTTTCCTCATCAACTGCACAGAGACACAAACAAAGCTTCAAACTAATGTTGTCCTTGCTGCTTCGGTGTGATATTTTATCACAGAGCTGTCTGGGGAAGAACAGAACCATGTGTGCTGAACATGACGGATTACAGACGTTTGGTGTGAACCTCACACAGAGGAGGAAAGACTTCAGATTTACGATCCGGCTGGAGGGAGAGCTGCAGACATTCCTGCTAATCTTCAGGCTCTTTATATTCACAGACTCTCCCATCCACTGTTCCCACAACACTAATTAGCCTTTTCCCCTCACTGGAGCATCAGGAAAACAGGCTTTTCTGCTGGTCTCCTCACACATCCTGAAACTCCAGCTAACGCCGGCTGCTTCAGGCTGATCCTCATCCTCCTTAAAGGCCTAAAGGTTCTGCTGGAACCTGCTCACTGGGTACCTTAATGTCTGTGGGTCCACTAGAGCATAACAGCAGCATTTGGTCAAAGCACTTCCTGTTTTTAGTTGTAACTCTGGCTGTTGTGGCCCTGGATGGCTTTACGGTGTTTAAGCTGCTTTGGTGTTTCCATAATCAGCCATCAACAGAGTTGCTCTCGTGAGCCCAGCCTTCAGCCAATCAGGGACAGCCGGTCTTCTGATGTCATGTTTAACCCCAACTTGACTCCATTAGAACCTAAAAAAAGAGGTTGACCGATACAAATGGAAAACCCTGGTGATCGAGACGCAGTCAGGCCTCTTCTCCACAGTTCTGTCCTGCTTTCTGAAACCACCTGGATGGATCGTCCTGAAACGAGCCAGGTGTTGTGTGTAAGCGATCTGATTGGCACAGGAAGCACTCGTTGATATGGACTTACGTCAACAACCCCATTCACCAGCCAAATCAAACCCTGAGGTCAAAACCTCAGGGTTTGATGATCATCAGGATTTTCTACAGGTGAAGCTCATTTCAGCTTCTAGTATACAAAATCTACTTCCTTCAGTCATGAGCACAAGGTGATACAATCTAGAGTAAAGGTTCTGGGTTCAGATATTTCCTCAGATATTAAAGCAGACGAAGCTCCAAACCAAATGTCCATAAGTCATGAATCCAGATCTGACCTTCAGACAGACGTGGAGTAAAACCTGAAGCTCTTCAGTGAAAACCAACCCTGACACACCTGAACTCTCCCACAATCACAATAACGACGTCAGCTCTGACCTCATCCAGCGAGTCGCTCAGGAGTTGTGCTCGTCGAACTTTAATGTTGAGGAACAGCAGGTTCATGTCCACCCTCTGCCTGCGGGACACTTTGCTCACCAGGCTCAGCTGTGGAGCAGACAGACACGTCTTTATCTGACCCTCAGCGGCTGATTCTTCAGCGCATCGTTTCCTCACCCTGGCCTGGCTGATCATCTGCTGCTCCGAGTCCTTCTGGATGATGGCTTTCTTCACCACCGTCGACAGGATGAAGGGGAACTGACAAAAAGAAAACCTGACGGAGAGAAGAAGAAGAAACAAAATGAGTGGATCACTTTCCTCACAGAAACATTTCGTTCCTGACCGCCCTGTGATGTCTGATCCAAGCTCAGCCATCCTTCATGACCCGGATCCCCCGACACGCCAGCCAGGGAGTTCTTTCCGTCTGAAGCTGTTTGAACTGCAGGCTCTGGATCAGTTTCCATCGTCAGGCTCCAACGAGGCGCGACGCAGCGTGAAACAAACTTCATGGCTTCTGTGAGACTTTCCACGGTTCTGAACAAACTGCAGCTGTGGGAACATTTCTTCATCTCCGCTCCATCGGACTTTCAGGAACCCTGAGACGGAGTTGACCCCGGCCGCGGTTCCTGGAGGGAAACTGGACCTTTCCCCGTCCTGATCTGAGGAGTGCGACTTCTCTGAGGATTTTAACCAACAAACTGCAGAACATGTAGTCACAGAAAGTATTTTGTTCTCAACATCTGGAGAACCAAGTCCACCCTGTGACCCGGCAGCTGGAAGCGGCTCCTCTCTGGCAGCACTGCAGAGCTGTTCACATGTTGACGTCTGGACTTTGACTAGACCATTTCTGTACATTGACTCTTTCATTTTTCTGTTGTAGATTTTGTGATCGTTGTCTTGTTGATGACCCGGTTTGGATCTTCGTTGTCAGACAGATGGACTCACATCTCAGGAGACCATGGTCCAATCAATAACGCCAGGTTTCCAGGTTATGTTTCTGCTAACGACGCCCATATCATCACACCTCCACTACCGTACTTGACAGCTGGTCTGAGGTCTTGGTGCTGATCTGTTCTGTCTGGTTTTTCTAATCATGGTTCTGTCCATTCTAGCCAAACATTTCTACTTTGGTCTCCTCAGTCCAAAGAACAATGTCCCAGAAGTTCAGATTAGAAACAGGCAATTTGAACTTGAAAAGTTATTTCAGTGTATTTATTGAAGTAGTGATGAACGGCAGCGGTGGACACGCCTCTGCTGACTCCATGATAGCAGAACTGATTTTCTGTTGACAGCTTTGCGTTTTTGGAAACATTTCTCATGTTTTTCATGAATATTTTTGCAAAACAACAATCCGAAAACAGCTACTGCTCACATTCTCCATCCGTGATGCAGTGAGGCAAATTATTCTGTACCCAGAATGCATTGCTGTAGTGCTACAGACGCTTAAGCCCAAACCATACAGGTAGGTAAGTAATGACTAAGTTGACCCTGTTGGGGGCGATATACTGATACACTGGGTATCAGGCTGTAGCCCTTTAGCATTAGCACAACCAGTGTTTATGATTAGCGCTTCAGAGTTAGCGTTGCTAAGTCTTTAGCTAGCAGCTAAAAAACTTTAAATAATAAAAGTTTAATTCAGGCTGTCCAGTCTTAATTATTAAGACAGTTTCATATACTTTATACACAAATAATTTATAATAATTATAAAGCCGACAACAAAACAGGCCAAATCTTCAGTTTGATTGACTGAATCTGACCTGTTTGAGTTGCCGTAGTTCTGCCAGGTCCGGTAGTCCTCCATGAAGTCTATGTGCTCCAGAGTGATGTTGTAGAAGTCGGTGAAGGGCATGATGGGAGGAGAGGAGACGCTGTTGGCTGCGTCTGGCAGGAAGACAGTAAACGGTGTGGAAGCGATCTGCAGGGTGAACCGGCGGCGAGGCGTCTGTGAGACTCACTGAACAGGCTGAGCACTTTGGTGGCCGAGGGAATCCACCAGGAACACTTGGCCGGAGGAGGAAGCTCGTCTGGTTCTGCAGGAAACAGGCGCGCGGAGATGAACTGCAGGAGGCGCTCCACCAGCTGCCGGAAGCGCCTGGCCGACAGCCTGACGGACCAAACCAGACCCATGTCACCAAGGCGTTAAAGGCGAACACAGGAGGACCAAAATAGAGACTTCACAGAAAAAACAGAGCGAGGGAGAAGAAAAGCAGAGTCGGCTGGAAAAACGTGGCTTTCAGGATCTGAGCAGAACTAAACAGAACCTCTAATTTGAAGCAGCTTGCTCTTAAATCAAACCCCACAAAGAACATGTTTGAAATGCTCCTGACTCATGCTGGGGGAGACCAACACAGAAGCTGGCTGACGCTGGTCCTCTCAGGTTCTGAGTCAACCCCAGATGCCGTCTGCGCCAGGTCACAATTTCACACAGAGACATTTTAAAAGCAGAAAATTGAAACAGTTTTACTCTCTGCAGCTGAGGGTTGGTTCAAATCAGATACATGAACTTCTCAGATGCAGTGGATGTGAATGAAAGTGTTAGTGGAGCCAGAGAGTAAAACGTTTAGACCGAAATAATTTGTTCTCTTCAGTTTTCTATGAAAACACTTCAAACCGTTTGTTTAATCCGACCAAACAGCCATGAAAAGACGCAGATAATAAAAACTCTCTTTAGATTTATGTTCTCTTCTACTCACTGTGACAAAACCACCAGCTCAGATGTTTTCTTCAGAGAACTGAATTTATCTGCGTTTAGTTGAATAAACTCTGCAGTTTGGTAGTTTGGTTAAAGATGAACAGACTGACCTCTTGAGCCAGTGAACCAGGAAGTGGTGGTCGGCCTCGGACAACGCTGCGATCTGCCGCAGCAGGTGAGCGAAGATCACGTAGGTGCTGGTGCTGGAATACTGGGGGTTCTGGACACAACAGGGTCATGACCTTTGACACGGTTCATCCTGACATGTTGACTCTGAGAGCCTGAGGTTAGAATGTCTGGATCTAACAGGAGAGTTTGGTTCATAGACTGAATTTTGAATAGTTTATGACAGAATCAGAGGTGGGGTTCAACAGATTCATTTGTTTCTGGGGAACAGCAGTCGGAGGGTTTGTCTGCTTTTTGTTTTTCTTTGAGTCAGATTGTGGCTCTATGATCCACATTTACTCTGACAAACAAAGTAAAGCTGTTTCAGTCCAAAGGCGTTTGAACTTTGAGTCATTTATTATTCCTCAACAGGTCTTGCCATATTCAGTATTGCTGTAAAGGTCTTTCCATATATGTTCATTCATCTGTAATTAGTAGATTTATTCATATCTTTTGCTCCTTGTGCTCATAGATTTTGTTCACTTTGCTTAATGTTTTTTTAATTCACATTTCAGACTCTGAGTTTACCTCAGTGTAATCTGGGTTATATAATCCCAAATGATGGGTACAAACAAGAAGTAGAGGCTGAATCTGAAGCCAGCTCATTGGCTCACTTGATGATAATGGAAAAATTGCAGAGAAAAATAAAAAGCAGACCCCAGAAAAATGTCCAAGTCTCTGGAAAGAACCTTTTCCTGAGAGCCGAACAGAAAAACAAAAAACTGCTTAATTTGTGAATGTGCACAAAACTGAAGACAGAAAGTTTTCAAATAGTTCACTGGGTCAGAATCCAGAATCAAAGTTTCTGTGAGCGGCTTCAGCTTTAATGGTGTTGGGCTGAACAGAACCGAGCAGAACTCCAATAAAGCTGCTGAATAGTTTCTGATGCGTTATGACCAAAAGCTGATTCAAATTATTCTTTGAATCTGCAGCAATAAAAAGGAGAAAGATGCTGAACAGCCTGAGTACTTTTGGATTGGCAGCCTGAAAAAGAGTTTCCTGTTTCATCCAGCAGGGATGGAAGGAGACGAAGTGGATGAAAATCAGAGGCAGAAAGAGATTTGGAGCTGTAGTTTTCTCCAGCACAAACTTCTGATGAACCACAGCTGGAGATGAACTGCAGCCTGAATTTTAATAGCAGTTATCAACAAGCACCATTAAGTTTCAGGGTTTTTGTTCCTATAAAGAGCTCAGATGAGCTCTCAGATCTGCTGTCAGCCAACTGGAAGGCCGGAGAGCTGCAGAACGCACAAAGCGTCCGCTGAAGAAAGAGAAGCCTGATGGGAAGCCTGAGCTGCAGGCGGCGATCAGAGCGATGCGCGCAGGCACAGAGCTGCACACGCCCCTGAACCGTCAAAGATTTTACCCGGAAAAGCTCAGCCAGACCGTCCAGCAGAAACAACATCCACAGCTTAAAGTCGGACTTTACCCGACTGGATTAGCAGTTTGAATTTGTGATACTTTTGAGCCTCATATTATGCAGCTCTGGCCGTAATAATGACTCTGAACCCATGAACTCTGATGTTTACAGTTAAGTGTCTGTCATGGTCACAGTTTCATCCAAATTTGTTCCCATTACAAATGTTTCTACATATTCTGCCTAAAATGCACAGCTGCAGGAAAAGGAGGGAGCCACCATGGCAACACGCGTGTCTCTGGTTCCTCGTCACGCAGCAGTTTCTCTCTGAAACGGCCGCGTCACGCTGGAGGGTCAACACAAGCTGACGTGTTTTCAGTCTCACCTGGATCAGAACGAAATACGCCCGCAGGTCGTCTTTAGTCCGAGGCCTGAAAACAGAAACGCAGAACAAGAACCAGCAGGAGGATGAAACACAAAAATATTTTTCATTTGATCTCATTCTGTCTGGAAATATTAATAACGATGAAGCTGAAGCAATAAACCAGCAGCGGCTGCAGCTCTCACCCTTTCCACTCCCTCAGCAGGCTGTTGATGATTCCTTTCAAGACCGACTTCTGGATGTCCTGAGGCTGAACACAGAGAGACAGACAGTGAGACAGACAGACAGAGAGACAGACAGACAGACAGTCAGAGAGACAGACAGACAGAGAGACAGACAGACAGAGAGACAGACAGTGAGACAGACAGAGAGACAGACAGACAGACAGAGAGACAGTGAGACAGACAGACAGTGAGACAGACAGACAGAGAGACAGACAGACAGACAGTGAGACAGACAGACAGACAGACAGTCAGTCAGACAGACAGACGTCTGCTCTTTGTGTTTGTCCAGCTTTAAAACTCAACATTGAACTGAAACCCAAACTCAAGCAAAGCTGAACTTTTTTCATAAGTTTTAAAAGTCCGGTTTGTGAGCTGAAGGTTGGACCTCATGAATCGATCCGACTCAGTTACAGATGATTATAAATATTTAAACTACTAAAATTAACTAAACACTAACTGTTTTTAATTTCTATTACAGTGGAGCTGAGACACAGCGCCCTCCAGTGGTTGCTTCTGTCACATGGAGTCCCTCAAGGTTCAGTCCTGGGAACCCTCCTATTTCATATGTATTGATCCTGCCAGCTCGGATGATTAGTTGCCATCACAACTCACGGCTCATCAGAACCGGGTTTTGGGTCTTACTGTGCTGAGCAGCGAGTCGTAAACCGCGCTGACGAACTTCCCGTTGACCCCTGAGTCCTCGATCGTGTTGAACAGTCCGTTGGCCTCTCGCTGCGGGACATTCAGACACGGTGAGGAAATGGAAGCAGCCAGGACGCAGCGGCGGACATTTATCCATTTTACCTTGAAGGCGGCGTTGATTTCTACGAAGGAGTCGAAGGTCGTCAGGTAAAACTCTCTGACTTCCCTCCAGTCACCTGATTGGGCGGCTCGCTCCACGTCCTCCCTGTTGGAAACGGCAGATGGAGTAACGCGGCGCGGTGAAGAGCATTCTGGGATGTTTCAGCGTCAGAGACGAGACTCACTGGAACTCCTTGGTGGTTTTGGTCCGCAGGGGGATGACGGGGTCGCAGGGGAACGGAGCTTTGACTTCCTGAGGCAGCGTGTCGATGGAGAGCCGCTGCTTCTGCCGGACGTCGCTGCAGATGGGAGGCAGTTCCCTCACGGCTGCAGCGCGGGAACACAGGAGATCATGAGGAAAACAGAACAGCATCCGGATTCATAAACAGTGCTCATTTTTAAAAGCTGTATTTTTCACCATCTTATTCAGACATTTAATGTTCCAAACTAAATATTTAGCTTGCACAATAAATTAGGAAGCTAAACACTTAGCTCTGAAGTATAAATGTTTCATTCTGATGGAAATATTTAATGTGCAAACTAAATAAATAGCTCAAAATTAAATATTGTTTGTTACATAAATATTTAGTTTCAATGTATTTTTTCCCCAAACTAAATATTTAATTTTCAAACAAGATATTTATTTTCCAAATTAAATATTTAGTTTTGTAACTAAATATTTAGATTAATTCTAAATATTTAATTTGGAAAACAAAAGTTTAGTTTGGAACTAAACATTTATTTAGTATATTTATTTAGTAAATATGCAAATTATAAAAATTACCTTGTGGATAAGTGGAAGTAGACTATCAAAATAAGAGCTTGGTTTTGTGGACCTCTATATAAACTTAACTGCGTCTCTTCAGTCTTCAGTATAGTTTTTATTTTCGTGCATCATCAGTTGTTTTGCTCCTAACATGTCTGGTGTCTTTGCTCCGTTTTAACGGAGAAACACGTTTATTCAGATCTAGAAATGAGAAATGAGTTAATTTTTCTGCTTTCACATCTAAAAGTGACGCCTGCTGATCCAACATGGAGGCCAGTCCTCCACCAGGTGGAAACACACGTCCTCCCACTGACCCACCCTCCCACTGACCCACCCACTGACCCACCCACCCTCCCACTGACCCTCCCACTGACCCACCCACCCATAAACCCTCCCACTGACCCACCCTCCCACTCATCCTTTCTCCTCATAATTGGCCCCTCGTTGTCTGCGTCTCCACGGTAACTCCATTCAGGTGCATTGTGGGAATTCATCCTGCAGGACAGATTGTTCAAGCAGGAGGAAAAAGGAGCTCAGAGGTCATCAGGTGTGAAACAGATTTCCTCTTTCCTCTGCAGGCCTCAGTTAGCAGGTCAAAGGTTAAAGGTCACGCAGTCTGGATAAAACCTCTTCACTTTGAAAATCCGGCAGCAGAACTTTGTATTGCAAAGCTGCAGCTGATGGTTGGGAAATGATTCGTTGGGAATCATTTCTCAGGGTTCTGATAAAGTTCTATATTTACTATGACTTCTTACCATGACAACAAAATGTTGTTTTTACTTCTGGCAGATGATCTTCAAAAAGTAACTGAACTTTGACCCCACATCCCAGAGGAGTTGATAAAGAGATAGAGAAAGTTCCAAGCATCCGTCATACTGGGCAGGAACCATTATCCCCTACTTCTGCATCTTTCTAGCCAAACGACCAGACAGAGATTTAAAGAGCAGCTAAAGCAAACGAGGTGGATTAGCAGAGCGAGCTAACTGATGGAGTCATTCAGGACGATACTGTGGAAACTGATACTGAGCTGGTAGCAGCAACAGCCTCAGTCAGAGGCTGAAGATGACGACCCTTCCAGCCCACAGCATCACTAAACACAGAAACTCTCAAAAATACATGTTGCCGTTCTCCTCCATGTTGCCGTTCTCCTCATGTTGCCGTTCTCCTCCATGTTGCCGTTCTCCTCATGTTGCCGTTCTCCTCATGTTGCCGTTCTCCTCATGTTGCCGTTCTCCTCATGTTGCTGTTCTCCTCATGTTGCCGTTCTCCTCCATGTTGCCGTTCTCCTCCATGTTGCCGTTCTCCTCATGTTGCCGTTCTCCTCATGTTGCCGTTCTCCTCCATGTTGCCGTTCTCCTCCATGTTGCCGTTCTCCTCATGTTGCCGTTCTCCTCATGTTGCCGTTCTCCTCCATGTTGCCGTTCTCCTCCATGTTGCCGTTCTCCTCCATGTTGCTGTTCTCCTCCATGTTGCTGTTCTCCTCCATGTTGCCGTTCTCCTCCATGTTGCCGTTCTCCTCCATGTTGCTGTTCTCCTCCATGTTGCTGTTCTCCTCCATGTTGCCGTTCTCCTCCATGTTGCCGTTCTCCTCATGTTGCCGTTCTCCTCATGTTGCCGTTCTCCTCCATGTTGCCGTTCTCCTCCATGTTGCCGTTCTCCTCATGTTGCCGTTCTCCTCATGTTGCCGTTCTCCTCATGTTGCCGTTCTCCTCCATGTTGCCGTTCTCCTCATGTTGCCGTTCTCCTCATGTTGCCGTTCTCCTCCATGTTGCCGTTCTCCTCCATGTTGCCGTTCTCCTCATGTTGCCGTTCTCCTCATGTTGCCGTTCTCCTCCATGTTGCCGTTCTCCTCCATGTTGCCGTTCTCCTCATGTTGCCGTTCTCCTCATGTTGCCGTTCTCCTCATGTTGCCGTTCTCCTCATGTTGCCGTTCTCCTCCATGTTGCCGTTCTCCTCATGTTGCCGTTCTCCTCCATGTTGCCGTTCTCCTCCATGTTGCCGTTCTCCTCATGTTGCCGTTCTCCTCCATGTTGCCGTTCTCCTCATGTTGCCGTTCTCCTCATGTTGCCGTTCTCCTCCATGTTGCCGTTCTCCTCCATGTTGCCGTTCTCCTCCATGTTGCCGTTCTCCTCATGTTGCCGTTCTCCTCATGTTGCCGTTCTCCTCCATGTTGCCGTTCTCCTCATGTTGCCGTTCTCCTCCATGTTGCCGTTCTCCTCCATGTTGCCGTTCTCCTCATGTTGCCGTTCTCCTCCATGTTGCCGTTCTCCTCATGTTGCCGTTCTCCTCCATGTTGCCGTTCTCCTCCATGTTGCCGTTCTCCTCATGTTGCCGTTCTCCTCCATGTTGCCGTTCTCCTCCATGTTGCCGTTCTCCTCCATGTTGCCGTTCTCCTCCATGTTGCCGTTCTCCTCCATGTTGCCGTTCTCCTCCATGTTGCCGTTCTCCTCCATGTTGCCGTTCTCCTCCATGTTGCCGTTCTCCTCATGTTGCCGTTCTCCTCATGTTGCCGTTCTCCTCATGTTGCCGTTCTCCTCATGTTGCCGTTCTCCCCATGTTGCCGTTCTCTGATTGGTGCGTCCCACGCGGTGATATCTTGTTTCCAGAGGTCGTCCTGTAACTTTATCCAGTAACTTCAGGATACAGATTGGCTCTAATCTTTATCCTCGGTGAACTCTGCACATGGATGATGTGGGCTGAGGGTCGGTTAGGCCTTCAGTGGGTGGAGACTTTGACTGGTCCGCCACATCATCCAGGCTACTTGCCATGGCAACCAGTCCTGGTTGCCATGGCAGCTTTTCATGGCCTTCAGCCCAGCATGATGTCATCTGAAGGCTTTGATCGTCCTCTGGGTTCAGACTCTGATGAATCCCCGCTCTGGTCTCTGGTTGTCTTTGTTTAGAACCGTAACAGAAACAACAGTTACCATCAGACCTGACATGTTGGTCATTTTTCTCCTCTACGGGTTTTTTGTGAAGCGCTGATGGAAAAGCGTCCTGATGGAAAAGCGTCCTGATGGAAAAGCGTCCTGATGGAAAAGCGTCCTGATGGAAAAGCGTCCTGGTGGAAAAGCGTCCTGATGGAAAAGCGTCCTGATGGAAAAGCGTCCTGATGGAAAAGCGTCCTGATGGAAAAGCGTCCTGATGGAAAAGCGTCCTGATGGAAAAGCGTCCTGATGGAAAAGCGTCCTGGTGGAAAAGCGTCCTGGTGGAAAAGCGTCCTGGTGGAAAAGCGTCCTGATGGAAAAGCGTCCTGATGGAAAAGCGTCCTGGTGGAAAAGCGTCCTGATGGAAAAGCGTCCTGGTGGAAAAGCGTCCTGATGGAAAAGCGTCCTGGTGGAAAAGCGTCCTGATGGAAAAGCGTCCTGATGGAAAAGCGTCCTGGTGGAAAAGCGTCCTGATGGAAAAGCGTCCTGATGGAAAAGCGTCCTGATGGAAAAGCGTCCTGATGGAAAAGCGTCCTGGTGGAAAAGCGTCCTGATGGAAAAGCGTCCTGGTGGAAAAGCGTCCTGATGGAAAAGCGTCCTGGTGGAAAAGCGTCCTGATGGAAAAGCGTCCTGATGGAAAAGCGTCCTGATGGAAAAGCGTCCTGGTGGAAAAGCGTCCTGATGGAAAAGCGTCCTGGTGGAAAAGCGTCCTGATGGAAAAGCGTCCTGGTGGAAAAGCGTCCTGATGGAAAAGCGTCCTGGTGGAAAAGCGTCCTGATGGAAAAGCGTCCTGATGGAAAAGCGTCCTGGTGGAAAAGCGTCCTGGTGGAAAAGCGTCCTGATGGAAAAGCGTCCTGATGGAAAAGCGTCCTGGTGGAAAAGCGTCCTGATGGAAAAGCGTCCTGATGGAAAAGCGTCCTGATGGAAAAGCGTCCTGGTGGCGTTTTATCCTTCCTGGCCTCTGGCTCTGAAAGCGAGGCGTCAGTGTTTTCTGACTCGAAGCTCCAGATGAACCTCTGATTAGTTCGGCCTCAGAACTCAAAACCATAGTTGAGGAAAATGAAAAAGGAAACAGAAACCTCCTGAATCTGTGATTATCCAGCAGACTTGACGACTGTAACCAGGCAGAGGAATGCTGCAGCGTCCTGGGTACGCCTGCGTGTGTGTGTGTGTGTGTGTGTGTGTGTGTGTGTGTGTGTGTGTGTGTGTGTGTATATGTGTGTGTGTGTGTCTGCTGTTTTCCTTTCATATGGTTTTCATTTGGGATGGAGGTTCGCATAATTATTCTGGCATCAGTCTCCGTGGTGACAAAGCTGGCTGATGAGCGCTCCGCTGGGTCTCCGTTCTCATGGCGGTCAGAAATAACCTCGCCTTTTACGAGAACCAACATCCTCCTCCGTGTAAAAACACTCGCAGTGACTCAGAACCGACGAGACGTCCGCTGCTTCACCAGAACCTCAGCTGCACATTTCAGCCCAGAAACCAGAGAGGTTTGCATCAGCAGAAATCTGAGTTACGGTTCCGATCCTGGGTTTGGATCCGGTCACACAACGCTGCCCCTCCTGCCATGCAGGCTGCATTCTGACTGAATACATGAGGCATACTGTAAACAGAGGAAGTAACACATCATTACATCTCAGACGGGACCCACATCAGATCCACTCAGAGAGCAGAACCGGGTCGGGCTGTAGGTGAGGTAAACCTTCTGGAGAGGAGAGCCAGGTTTCGTTCCAATCAGCCAATCACTGCAAAGCTTCAGCACTTCAAACACGATTAAATGAGTTAAATCAGATCAGAATTAGTTCAACGTGATCACAGCAGAAAGCAGAAGGTTTCTGTTTCCACACATCATGGTGGACTTGGTTCTATTGGGGACCAAAGTTTCATCATCTGCTGTGGCTCTGAGTCCAACCAGCCTGTTCCCCTCCTGGCCTGTGGGGGCGCTGCACCAAGAACCACTGCAGGAAACGACACAAAAACCTCTGAAGACACTGAGAGCAACTTCCTGTTTCACCAGATGAAACAGATGGAGGCGTTGGAGGATTTCTCCTGCTGGCGCTAAATTTGTGTATTTGCTTTGATTCTATTTACCCAGAATGCCCTGTGCTGTCGTCACTTCCTGGTTTGGGACGGTCTACTGTCTGCTTGGCTTTCAGTTCAACTGAACCCAAACCTGCAGCAGCATGACCTCATGCTGCAGCAGCATGACCTCATGCTGCAGCAGCATGACCTCATGCTGCTGCAGCATGACCTCATGCTGCAGCAGCATGACCTCATGCTGCAGCAGCATGACCTCATGCTGCAGCAGCAGTTCTCAGGATGAACATCGTATCTCAGCTGATGTCACTCACAGTGCCTGATCCCCAGGGGGCCGGTCAGTGGGCCCCCGATGCCCATGGCGAAGCCCCGCCCTCCTGCGTCTCTCCTCTGGCTTAGGGTGGAGATGAAGGTTCCCAGAGACGGAAACGGCTGCTTAGGTCCTCGTCCCAAAACCTGCCATGAGGAAAACGTCTGTTTAGTATTCAGTAACAATAGGATGTTATCTGCAATAAGTCAGATAAATCTGAAGATTTCCACAGGATCACACTTCTGCTAATGCGCTAACAGCAGAGCTCCTTTTTCATTTAGCGTCTTGACCTAGCTTTTAAAATGTTTTTCAGATCAATTCTGAACTAACTTTTTCGCTGTTTAGTGAACTTGCAGACGAACAAATTTTTTGATTAAAAATTCTTCACGTCGTTAGATGTTTATGTTCATGCTCTTATTTTGAAGTGTTTACGCAGCAGGTCCATTTCCTCGCAGTTCCCATGATGCAGTGCTGCAATTGTTCTTCATTCTGTACCCAGAATGCATTGCTGTAGAGCGGCAAACAGTTTTATCTCGGGATTGCTGTGAATGCCATAATTTATCAAGGCTGAAGCAACATAAATTATCCTTGTGGAGGAAAGCTGATTGGCAGAGGATGAGGAGGAGGGCAGGTATGTGTGTAAATTTGTACATTTGTGTCATATGTTTAGGTTGAGTGTGAGTCAGATGTTGTTGTTAGAATATTTTTCTGATACTAAAAAAGAGGGAAGCATATTTTTACTTTCCCACATGGCGCCACGATACAATATATTTTTAAAAATGCAATAATTCAGAAAATGTTCATGTTCAAATCAGCAGCAGTTAGCAAAACATAAGAACTAAAACAGAAACACGAGTTAAAGGTTTGATCAGCAACATCGGAAATAATTTATAATATCACAATTAAATCGACATGGCAGAATTTAGCACTTTAGCATTAGCTGACCTAATGCTTCTGATTAGTGCTTTAGGGTTAGCACAGCTAACCTGTTAGCTAGCTGCCCACCACTGGCTTCCATGATATCAAGGAAAATCATTCAATAACTTTTTTAACATAAACATATAAACAACAATAAATTGTTTTCATCTTTATTTTGAAACATTTCATGCTTTCTGGTTGTTCAGTTGTGGATTTTAATGCCCTGATTTTCCACTTTCTCATAATTACATCCACTTTGCATGATGCAGCCACCACCATGTCTTATTATTGGCCAGATGTTCAGGACACTGTCGCATATTTTCCCAGAGGTTTGTTTTAGCTCTGCTCCTTATTCCAGAGATGGAAAATGCAGGAGATGAATTTGTGGTGTGGATTATGAGCAGAGCTGGTTGGGATCTCCGACGGCTCCTTCAGCGTTGCTTTATGACCCTCAGCGCCTTTAATAACTCTAAAACTGGAGCTGATGTCCAGGAGTCAAACACAGCTTAGAGACCAAACGTCATGCTTCTGGACTGGTGGAGGAAGCTGGAGTACCCAGAGAGAACCCCAGTATGAAACGGAGAGCATGCAGAGAGACCAGACCCCAGGCTGGGATCCAAACCCAGGACCTTGTTGCTCGTAGGCAGTGGTGCTTCCATCTGCAGCTGCTGTACGTCTCATAAATGAGACGCTGGTTTATAACCAGCTTATTCTGGAAAAAATACGTAATTGCAGATTTATTTTATGGGCTCTCCTGACAAACGCTCCAGCTAATGACTGAGTAGCCGTCATCTTGCAGCTCTTTAGTCAACTGAGTGACTCTCTGCATTCTCACATGTTGAGGTTTCTCAGCAGAACTTCCTAAGCTGGTCCAGACTCCGGGCTGCATGATCAGACAATGAGAACATAACCAAAACTAAACACATGAGCCCAGCGTTTACCGACTGTTCTCCGTGATTAATCACACGTTGTGCCGCTATCAGACGCTTCACAGCAGCAGAGCCACGAGTGCAGCGAGGCCAGAGCAAGACAGAAATTACAGGATGAAAAAGAAGGAGCCAAGGAAGAAAAGTGGGATGGACAGAAGACGGGGAGGATAAAGGACAGGAACTGTGAAAGTAAGAGGACAGGAAGAGAGGGATATGAAAGAGAGTAATTCAGGAAGCAGGGGAATAAATGGAAATGAAAGAAAATAGGATGAAGAGGTTCAGAGCTGAACAGATGCAGAGCAGCCGCTGCTTAAAGCTGCAACTCCACAAAGACACAAACCTGTGGTGTGTTCAGGGACTGCAGGAAAAGACAGATTCAAAATCAATAAAGTTTATGACCAACTATGAAATAATCATGAGAAAAGCTGCAGACAGCGTGAACATCATGATGTAAAAAACTTCAGAGCAAATCCTCCTTTTATCGTTTAAACATTAAACATTAAAGATGCTGAATCAGGTTTTTTCTAAGCATATTAACAGAGGAAGGAAATATTTCAAACATTTATTATGTTAAAATCGTTTATTTATTCTGAACCTTTATAAGAGTTTAATTATAGCTAAATATAAATGCATCAGCATGTAGATTATTAGTGTTGATGTGTTTAAAGATGAAGAATTCCCACTGAGAAAAACTGATCAGGAAAATTGATTGGTGCATCTCTGATAAACAAGTTTGATGTTTAAATGTTTTAAAGACATAATGAGATTTAAGTGTGGATATCTTTGTCCTCCAATGTTTCTTAATGTTTTGTAAACTTTAGACGTTTCCATAAAACCAGATTTATTGTTGCAGAATTTCCTGTCCAGGTTTTGACTCTGATCCTCCGTCAGATGGTGAGAAGTTGAAGCTGCAGGATGAATGATGTGGTTAGAACTGCTTGTTATCTGAGAGGAGCCTCTCACAACCTCACCTCTCTCACAACCTCATCGCTCTCACAACCTCGTCGCTCTCACAACCTCACCTCTCTCACAACCTCACCTCTCTCACAACCTCATCGCTCTCACAACCTCATCGCTCTCACAACCTCACCGCTCTCACAACCTCATCGCTCTCACAACCTCACCGCTCTCACAACCTCATCGCTCTCACAACCTCACCGCTCTCACAACCTCATCGCTCTCACAACCTCATCGCTCTCACAACCTCATCGCTCTCACAACCTCATTGCTCTCACAACCTCATCTCTCTCACAACCTCATCGCTCTCACAACCTCAGCTCTCTCACAACCTCACGCTCTCACAACCTCAGCTCTCTCACAACCTCACCTCTCTCACAACCTCGCTCTCTCACAACCTCAGCTGTTGAGGAAAACCCAAAACATCCGGAGAAACGTCCCAGAATGCATCTCTGCCTGGAGCTGGGTCTGAATCATCACATCAGAGGAGACTGATGGCATTAAGCCTCAGGGCGGATTATCTCCTGGTGGCCTGGTGACACGTCAGCTCATCACCATGTCCACCGTGTCCCTCATTTCCCTCATGTCCCTCATGGCCGCCGCCTCCACCAGGCTCCGGCAGCCATGTTTTGTTTTGGTGGTTCTGGCAGCAAAGCAGCAGGTGTGGGCCGCCTGGGAAACGGTCTGGCTCTGCCCGTTTCCAGTGCTGGAACCTGTACTGGTCCAGTTCCAGCAGGCAGACTGGATCAGAAATTTAGTGGGTTTCTGGTAATTTGCTCACCACAAGTCTGGAACGGGTCTGGTACCGGTTCTGACAGAATCAGGCCAGCGCTGGTCCGTCTCAGAGGAGTCACAGACACAACACAGACTGGCTGTAATGAAGCTGTTGACGGATCCGGACTGGACCGGACTGGACCCGGACCGGACCCAGACCGGACCGGACCGGACCCGGACCGGACCCAGACCGGACCGGACCGGACGCAGCTGGTCACCTGGGTGACGGTTGGTCTTCAGGACTTACTGGGACAAACTGATCAGTTTAGACAAAGTGATCAATCAGTTTGTCTCAGAAACCTGATCAGTTCATGATTTATTCCTAAGATATTGAAAACATTTTATCCATCAGCCAAATTTTTTCATTCATGTTTAATTTTAATCTACATAATAAATTCTATTAAGCCAACCATAATTATTGAAACTTCAATGTTAATATTCTCAAATACTATTTTATCAATCACATCAGTTTTTATTTGTATAGTATACATAGTGTATTATTTAATGTTTCTATCAAGTTGAGAGGAAGCTCTAATATTTGAACCGTTTATTCATAATTTATCGACACTTTCTGCCACAGGCGGCCATTTCAGGACGTTTATGATTTTGATGTGGAATGAAATGAAAATCAGTTTGACGTCCCTGATGTACGTCATCAAGATTTAAGACGTTATAGTTTCTAAACGGCTAAAATGATTAGCTCTATTTTCTCTGAAAGCGTCTGTACAGCAGCAGACTGCAGGCTGGCTAACACAGCAGAGAGCCTTACTAATGAACTGGATCAGTTTGTTAGACTTCCAGCGTTAATCTGTAACGCAGAAAGAAGCCGTAAAGCAGCAGACTGCAGGCTGGCCACACAGCAGACACCATTACTTTAGACAAGAAGCTCAATGAAAACCTTCAGCGGTTCATTATAAACTGATAAAGACAGAAAGGTTCTTCAATCATTTCTCTTAAAAATGACTCCATCCTGTAAAGCCCTCTGAGCTGAGACCGACTCGGCTGCGGTGGAATTTTATTTGTAGAAATTAAACCTCATGAATGTGAGACGAGTGAGAACAGAAAAACTTTCTCTTGTTTTCTGAAAGTTTTCCAGCTCGACTCGTCCATGTAACATAGTTTAGGTTTAACTCTAAACTGTTTTAATCATGAAATCGTCAAACAGAATGAAGGTTTTTTAAATCGACCTGATTTTAGATCGAAGCGGTTCTGATGTGGTTCTGATCGGACCCGACCTGAACCAGGAAGAGTCATCATTAAAACCTGCGATGTGAACCAGACAGAAATGAATCAGTGATGATGAGAGTCATCTCCTGGATTATGAACCTGCAGGGGTCAAATGTTCTGGTTCTGGTCGGAGATCCATCCATCCATCATCCATCCATCCATCATCCATTCATCCATCCATCCATCCATCCATCCATCCATCCATCCATCCATCCATCATCCATTCATCCATCCATCCATCCATCATCCATCCATCCATCCATCATCCATCCATCATCCATCCATCCATCCATCATCATCCATCCATCCATCATCCATCCATCATCCATCATCCATCCATCATCCATCCATCATCCATCCATCATCCATCCATCCATCCATCCATCATCCATCCATCCATCATCCATCCATCATCCATCATCCATCCATCATCCATCCATCATCCATCCATCCATTCATCCATCCATCCATCATCCATCCATCATCCATCCATCATCCATCCATCCATCCATCATCCATCCATCCATCCATCCATCCATCATCCATCCATCCATCATCCATCCATCCATCCATCATCCATCCATCCATCCATCCATCATCCATCCATCCATCATCCATCCATCCATCATCCATCCATCCATCATCCATCCATCCATCCATCATCCATCCATCCATCCGTCATCCATCCATCCATCCATCCATCATCCATCCATCATCCATCCGTCATCCATCCGTCATCCATCCATCCATCATCCATCCATCATCCATCCATCCATCATCCATCCATCATCCATCCATCCATCATCCATCCATCCATCCATCCATCCATCATCCATCCATCATCCATCCATCATCCACCATCATCCATCCATCCATCATCCATCCATCCATCATCCATCCGTCATCCATCCATCCATCATCCATCCGTCATCCATCCATCCATCATCCATCCATCCATCATCCATCCATCATCCATCCATCCATCATCCATCCATCCATCATCCATCCATCCATCCATCATCCATCCATCATCCATCATCCATCCATCATCCATCATCATCATCCATCCATCCATCATCCATCCATCCATCATCCATCCATCATCCATCCATCCATCATCCATCCATCCATCCATCATCCATCCGTCATCCATCCATCCATCCATCATCCATCCATCATCCATCCATCCATCCATCATCCATCCATCCATCATCCATCCATCATCCATCCATCCATCATCCATCCATCCATCCATCATCCATCCATCCATCATCCATCCATCATCCATCCATCCATCATCCATCCATCCATCCATCATCCATCCATCCATCCATCCATCATCCATCCGTCATCCATCCATCCATCCATCATCCATCCATCATCCATCCATCCATCATCCATCCATCCATCATCCATCCATCCATCCATCATCCATCCATCCATCCGTCATCCATCCATCCATCCATCCATCATCCATCCATCATCCATCCGTCATCCATCCGTCATCCATCCATCCATCATCCATCCATCATCCATCCATCCATCATCCATCCATCATCCATCCATCCATCATCCATCCATCCATCCATCATCCATCCATCATCCATCCATCCATCATCCATCCATCCATCATCCATCCATCCATCATCCATCCGTCATCCATCCATCCATCATCCATCCGTCATCCATCCATCCATCATCCATCCATCATCCATCCATCCATCATCCATCCATCATCCATCCATCATCTATCCATCCATCCATCATCCATCCATCATCCATCCATCATCCATCCATCCATCCATCATCCATCCATCCATCATTTGCTGACTCAGCTGTCTTTCCTGCCTCTGATCTCCTGCTGCCTGATCAGAACCAGAGAACAGATCCAGATGGATCCATATGGATCTGTTGGATCCAGCTGTTTTGGGGTTCTTGCAGACCCGATCAGAACCAGGCTGAGCAGTGACCAGCTGATCTTGGGTCAGAACCATCTGAAGGTGGAGATGCCTCCAGGCGGATGAGCAGAGACCTGCCTGATGACGTCACAGCCGCTACTAAAACACAGACATGTTCAGGAAGCGGCTGAGCAGCAGATCAAACCTGGAGTTTGATCCAGGATCAAATGATGATACAAGATGATAAAGTAATCCGCTGCTGCCATGTTACATAACTGTTTGTGTTTGGATGATTCTGCAGGAAAGTGATGCTTTAAATGAAACCAGAGCGTATGACTGAAGAGCAATTAGAGAAGATGTCCTGACAAAACAATCAAGAACTTCTGCAAACTTTCACAAACTCTCAGGTCAACGATTCTTCTCATCCTCACCCACATCAGATCAACCCACTGAAACATCTGAAACATTCCTGACCTCTGAAACTCAGATGGAGAGAAAAGGAGGCTTAGCTTACAGGAGGAGAGCTGGTGTAGATGGGGGGCAGCCTTTCTCTTTCCCTCTCAACTCCTGACAGAGCAGAATGTTCTCCATCCATCCTGAAGAGTGGAAAACCTGTTTTTCCTCCGTGGAAAGTCTCAGTCCTCAGCTGCGCCTGCGGTGCTGCTCCTCACAGGGCTGCGCATGTTTTCCCCGCAGATGTTCGCCTCTGCGCTCCGCAAGCGGGCAAATCAGGAAGATTCACATCCTACAGCAAGCGGAGTGAAATCTACCTTCGTCGGACAGGTGAGATCCGCGTTACGCACACACCCTGACGCGCCAACGTCTCCAAACAAGCAGGCTGCGCGTAAAAGTCAGCCGTGGATTCTCCAAACAGCGGGAGCGCCGCGGGGAAAGTTAAAAACAGATTCTGAAAACGTTAAAGGAAAGTTTCTACCCGCTGCTTCTGCGCTTCTTTCTCTGCTTTTCTGCGTCGTCGGTCGGGGAGGCAGCCCAGCAGCGAGCCGGCGCCATGTTTGGAGGAGAAGGAGGATGAGGAGGAGGAGGATGAAGAGGAGGAGGCGCCTGGACACACAGCGTCAGCAGCAGAGAGAGAGAGAGAGAGAGAGAGAGAGAGAGAGAGAGAACTGGATTCAAAATAAAAGAAGAGAAAAGCTCATAAAATTTGTTAACCATCTGAAGGGGAATCCAAAAATAACAGTGTTTACCAAAACACTAAAAAACAACTAGTATGAATAAAAGTGGTGGAATTTATCAGAATACATTATAATCATTTATTTTAGCTCAGCAAATAAAATAAAGTTCATATTGGATCAGAAATTTGAAATTTCCCATATGCCATATGGGCGGTTGCTCAGGGTGGCAGAAGGACACAGGGCGCCCAAGAACTAAAATATTAAATACAATATCAGTTGTTCCCTGAACACGTTTGGTTCAGGGAACAACTGAACTGCTGCTGAGTCAGCTGGAAAGAAATCAAATGTTTGCATTTTAACTGGTTAGGAGAGAAAAGGGGCCTGCCAAAGTGTAAACATTAGCATACAAGCTAAAATTAACTGTTCAGTACCATGTGGGCTAGCACTGTCATGTTAGCTAACATTGACTCACTCCATTCAGTATGATAAACTTAGCTATTATTAAAAAATAACTAGAATAGAATTCTGTCTTGTAGGCTAATGTTAGCCTGACAGCAATCACTGGCATGTTGAGTAGCATGTTGACGCTACTAGAATGACGCTATCACCAGCATGTTGACCACTCCGTTTTGCTTTTATTAGGTAACATGTTAATGTTAGCTGAAATGCTATCATCAGTCCCTGTGCTGTCATTAGCATGTTGACCTAATAGCATGTCGATGCTAGCATTAGAGTATGTTTATCTCCAGTCTGGTTTTTCTTTGGTTTATTTAGCAGCAGTTTTAGTTGCATTTGAGAGTGAAAATAAAAAGCTGCAAACTTTTATTCTGAAGGTTTTCAGAGGAAGTAGAGACTTTAGTTTCCTCCGGCTCTGATGGTGGTTCTGTAGACTCTGCGTCAGCGTTACAATTTAACTTCTGGACCCGTAATTAGTGAGAAACAGAATCCAGGCTTTGGGCCAACTCTTTGTGAACATAAAGAAACAGAAGGACTGCTGTTGTTGAAGCCCTGTGTGTGTGTGTGTGTGGTGTGTGTGTGTGTGTGTGTGTGTGTGTGTGTGTGTGTGTGTGTGTGTGGGGGTGTGTGTGTGTGTGCGTGCGTGTGTGTGTGTGTGTGTGTTTCCCTGTAATGTTGAGATCATCATCCGTCTGGTTTCCCAAAAGCAGCTCCAGTGTTTCTGCAGAAATTTTATGACGTTTGTTTCCAAACCAGCATCAAGTTAACCAAACCCGCTCCGATCCAATAAAACCAGGATGGACTTGGACCTGAGTTTGGATCAGATCCTCCGGTCAGAAATCAAAGCAGCTCTAACAGAACCTGAAGCAGACGGGCCTTCCTCGTCCTCCTCTTCTTCAGTCTTCAAACGGTACAAAGCTGATTTCTACCATCTGGGGGAAAATGGCCGCAGCGTCTTCATCCAGGTCCAGGTTCTGAGGCTGATGGTCCATCCAGATGGTTCTGATCTCAGAGAACCGGACGCCACCTCAGGACCGGGTCGTTCTCTGCACAATTTTGCAAGGAGTTAATTCTGCAGAAATGTCTCTTTTGTTGAAGTTGTAAAATTCTGGGTCTTGAATAAATTATATAAAAGCTTAAAAAAATGAAATTTGCATATCATGCAGAACTGCCTGGTCTGCTATGAACTCATTACTTATGAACTCATCACTTAAGAACTCATTAAATTTGTTTAGTGGATCCTGAAGAATTTATCTCAGTATCTTCACTTGTTTTCTGAATTATTATGAGTCTGATTTCAATGAATTCTCCTCATTGAAAGCTGTTACACACTGAAGAGGTCAAAGGTTAAATTCTGAACTTTCTGCTTCCTCTCTGATCCTGAAAAGTTGTGGGCAGAAGAACCAGATTCTGGACAGAATCAGAACCGAGCTTTAAACTCTTTAACATCATATCTGATTTTTTTTTCTCTCTGTTTAAGATGCTCAGTTCTGGCTGCTTGGCCCGGTTCGGTCTGGTCCAGTCCAGTCTGGTCTGGTCCGGTCCAGTTGCCCTGAGCTGAGATTGTTTTCGGAGCGGAGGCCTGGTTCAGCAGCAGACACGTGGTGTTGGTCCAAACCCAGATGTGCTTTTTGCATCAGTCCAGAGATTTTTATGGCTTCTGGGGCTCAAACTCCAAACTCTCTCTCTCTCTCTGTTTCACTTCCTCGCTCTCTCCTTCTCTCTCTCTAGCTCTACCCCTCTCTCTCTCCTTCTCTCTCTTTTTATCTCTCTCTCTCTCTCTCTCTCTCCTTCTCTCTCTCCTTCTCTCTCTCTGTCCTGCGGTTGTGTCCTCCCAGTGAATAACATCCCCCCCTGCAGGGAGCCTTGGCGTTTCGGACCCAGCAGAACAGAACCCAGCGGGTCGTCTGGCCGCATTACTGCAGGTTAAACTGGATCTAAACCTGCTGCTTTCTGCTGTTGCATTGTGGGTCGTTATGTAAGAGTTAAAGGCCGTGGCTTCCTCTGCTGATGAAATGAAGAAAACCTGATGTCATCGAACGCAGCTCAGTTGGGAAAGAACAAAAGATTTCTTTGAGCCCAAACTTTGGATATTTCACAACCCGAGCCGCCGCCTGGTTCCTGCTGTTTGTTATGAAGACGGAGAAAAACTGAGCAGGAAATGTGCAGATTTAAGCTTCCTGACCATCCAGGACAGGAACTGCTGAACTCTAACTTAGAATAAAACTTCAGGGTTTTACTGCTGCTCATTTTTCACTAATTTAATGGAAATAAAAAATTATAAGTGACTTCAGTTACAACATAAACATATTCAGTCATGATGCGGCTGATTCAGAAACTGAACTGTCATAAAATACTTATTAACAAACATCAGTTTGGTTTTCTTCTGTTCTAACAACAGAGATAATTTGTATTAATTATTTATTCCACATAATTCACATAATATAAATTTGTTCAAGTTGAATGGTGAACTATGAACATGAACTCATTCTGAACAAATATAAAACATTTGTACATCACTCATTGGAATAATGAAGAACAGAAATATGAATAAATCACAGATTAATATGATAAAATATCGCAGCTGTTTGGATTCATTCGGTCTGAGGAGCCGTTGCTAATGCTAATGCTGTTGCTAACGCTAATGCTGTTGCTAATGCTATGCTAATGCTAACGCATTCATTTCCTTTGATCCTTCGCTCCTGCCACTGTGAGAAAGAAGAATCGTGTGCTGTGATGTTTTACAATATTTATACCAACTTCATATCAAACGTCACAAATGACATCATAATGTGGATTTAAAACTCGGTTATGTTTGCAGCCTCACAGCTCAGCTGTACTTTCCTCTAGAGACATAATTAAAAGTTAAAAATGACTCAGAAATACATTTTCATCTCCACCAAACATTTTAATTATTGAAGGTATTTCTGCTGCTTTGTTTCCCTCTGCTGTGAGGCAAACAGTTTTCTGTCCAATCAGGTCAGAGGTCAAACTCGTTCAGTTCTTCAGATTTCTGATAAAAACTCATAAAACTGGATCTGTTTCCATAACAACCTTCTCCCTTCTCCAAAAACGTCTCAGTGCAGATTTCGCTTTCCTCACAGAGACGTTTGCCGAGGCCTTAAATGGAGCTGTGAGCTCGCCCTGGAAATGACGTCAGCATGCAACCAGTAACTCAGCTGTGGGATTCCTCCTGGACTTCCTGGATCCTCCAGGAGGAACCAGGAAGGTTCTGATGGGAACCAGGAACATGAATGATCCTCCTGGATCTGCTGCTCTGAATTCACTCTGCAGACATTTTAGAACTGAACTTTCTTTGTATTTCTCCTTAAATTTGTGTCTTTCAGGCAGATTTTGTTTTTACTCCAAAAACAGAAAAAAAGAGACAGAAAAACAAAGAAAACATGAAGATTTAAGGCTGAAGTGACTCTGCATGCTGCAGGTTTAACTTGTAAAGATCCTGATCTCTACAGTTTTTATCCACTAGAAAGAAACGTCCCTGCAATAAATCACTAAGTTAATAGATAACGAAATAGAAAAACATTTGATTCTGTTGATCACAACTTTAGTCACTAAACTTGAAGTGGATCAAAAGCTCCTTAAAGAGCCTGAAACAGTTTGTGAAAATAAATGATCATAAATCAGTAAAAGGGAATTAGGTCATTTATAATGTTTATTACTGACATATGCAAAGTAATAAATCATTTAAGTCAAGGAGGGAGAGGAGGAAGAAGAGGGAGAGGAGGAAGAAGAGGGATAGGAGAAGAGGAGGGAGAGGAGGGAGAGGAGGGAGAGGAGGAAGAAGAGGGAGAGGAGGAAGAGGAGGGAGAGGAGGAAGAGGAGGGAGAGGAGGGAGAGGAGGAAGAAGAGGGAGAGGAGGAAGAGGAGGGAGAGGAGGAAGAGGAGGGAGAGGAGGAAGAGGAGGGAGAGGAGGGAGAGGAGGAAGAGGAGGAAGAGGAGGAAGAGGAGGAAGAGGAGGAAGACGAGGAAGACGAGGGAGAGGAGGGAGAGGAGACAGCAGTTGTCAGGAGGAATATTTGGGTTGATTCATAGCAACCAGTCCAAACTACTGGAGAGAGAAAGAAAGCAGGACCAACATCTGGAGAGGCAGGTCCGTTTACACACACACACACACACACACACACACACACACACACACACACACACACACCCACACACACACACACACACACACACACACACACACACACACACACACAGGCCTTCCCTCAGAGGAGAGAGGTTACTGTAGTTCAACTGGGAG